TCTGATGGGACATGGACCTGCGCATAGACTGTTGGAGTAGATTGGTGTAAGAATTATCCTTGTAGCACCAACTGATACTGAGATACACACCGACAACTGGATTGACAGGACTTGATGAAGAAGATGATGATGAAGATGAAAAAAGGTGGCTGAACAAAACGGCCGGTTCGCCGATTTTTGACTTTTCGCTTAGACTAAGTCTAGAGCCACGCTAGTTGTACCATTGGAGTCCTCTGGTCAAGATAAGGTCCTGTATAAAGTTTGGTAAGCATAGGAGCTCGTTTTCCCGGTATAACAAGGCTGCAAAAGTCGTGGCAGCCATTTTGTTTGGGGGTGAATCCTACTTAGTAACGCTACCGCGTTACTAATAAAAATCACAAGGAGAAAATTCTCCATTTTCATAATATTTTCCAATGCAAATTTGTGTCCCAATGCTAATTCTGATCAAGTTAGAATTAAAAAATTTTTTTAAGTTACTCAAAAATTGGACCAATGACCAAATTTGGTCAAATTTTGTCAGAAATTGCTCTGAGAGAATTCTCCATTTTTATAATTTATTCTGATACACACACGTTCTTAGGTTTTGTAGAAAATTTGGGCTGACTCCAATCAAATATGAATTTTTGTAAATTTTTAAAATTGCTCAATAATTGGAAAGTACAGGGACTTTAGCCAAATTTCATCAAAAAATGGCAATGAGAGAATTCTCCACTATTATAATTTTTTTCTGATGTATATACATGAAATTATGTTGTGTAGAAGTTTTGAACTAATTTCAATCAAAATAGATTTTTAAATAATTTTAAAAGTTGCTCCAAATGCCATGTACTCTATTGTAGCAATTATCAGCTCATGAAGCTCATGCTGTTTAGATCACTTAGCATGCTTCATAGGAAATCCTAGTCTACATGCATATGATTTTCTACCTTTCTATTTTTCCCTTTCCATTAGTTAGTACAATTTTGATGTTAGCATGGTTGTGTTAGGTGTCAAAATGATATATGTTCCTTTATTACCAGGACATAAAAAGAGACTAACACAAACGTAAGATATATCAGTTTTGATGTGAAACAGTATTAATAATATCAATCAATATATCAATTATGTCAGTGATAATATCAGAGTCAGTTTTCTACTATTGTTAATATTTTGTCTTTTTTGTAACAGGGTGAAATCTGTTCTTGCTAAATCAGTATCTGCTCAGTCTACTTATGTTGATTTGACATTATCTTTTGATAATGATTTACCAGGATCTCCTTTTAGATATTATTATTAAATTATTATTATTGAGCAAATAAAAATAGTTCAAGTCATACTAATTTTGTTATTCTTATTATTTAAACAAGGCCCTGCCAATTTAATAGATTCATATTTCATGACGTTTATTTAAAATAATGTGTTTTCAAAAGCATACGAGTAGATCTAATCCTGCTAGAGGTGTTTAAGTTTTGTATATCAGATCTACCTCCCTCTAGCTGTTTGGGGTTTTTCAAATTATATGTGTTGGGACTATGGAATATTCACTATTCAGTTATTCTTGTGTAGTTGGAGAAGGTCTTTGTTTCTGCTATAAACCTGTCGTACCAGAGAGGAGTGTAACAGACTATGGTCAGTTGATTGTAATTACTGTATCAGTAAACAGTTATATTAATCACATTTGAATATGCATAATCTATGTGTGTGTAGACACTATGCATTACTTATTGAGCTGTGAATCTACTGCTCAATAGCAGTCATCATGTCCTAAACCACTAAAATACCAGTAATTTACAAAGAGGGATTTTGGCAATTTAAAAACATCCATTTGCCAATTATGCCAATCACTAAAAAAATTCAGCAATTCACTAATTATAAAATTTGGGCTTCTAAAGTTATATACTAGCTAGATTTATCATGATAAATTCACAAACCCAAAAAGAGAAACTTTAAAAGTAACCTGTCATTTTAATGAGACTGTTGTACCACTTCCCACTCTATTAAGCTCGACTGAGATATTAAATATCTTGGTATTGTTAATGGTCCTAAATTATGTGAGGGATGAGGACTGAGTCAATGGATTGAGGTAGAGAGGCACTGACATGCGAATATTTTAAATTTTTTGATTGTTATAGTGCTGCAGTTCATAAGCACATTGATAACAAAGCTGCAATAGATTGATTATCTGATTAATTATAAAGAGAACAAATAAACTATCAAATTTAGCAAAAAAATAATTAATAATAATAATAATAGTCAGAAAGCAAAGCAATAAATGTGCATGTATCATGCCATGTACAAACAAAAAATCAATTTCTAAAAATAACAGTAATAGGTAACATGATGAAATTTCGAAAAGATAAATAAAAAAGTGAGAGAAAGAAAAATTGTAAAGCTGTGATTTGTTAGTCAGGCGGGCCCGCCTGACTAGTGATTTGTGGTGATGCAATAGAAATAATGGCCTTCCTATATGCCATATTGTGCTGCTGCTTAAGTTCCCATGCAAGTAAAGAAGAGCTAATGTTAAAATAAGATCGCTTGAAATAAAGAATAACAAAAAGTGAAGATAGTATGGTTCTTGATAATTTGTCTTTTTTATGTCTAATCCTCACCTAGTTTCATTCTTTTGGTAATTTGATGTTCCTCAATACCTGCACCTGTTGTTGTTCGCTTGAAATATCTTCTTCTTTCCTCCTCCGTCATATCAAAAATCATTTCATGATAGGCCTTTTCAAGATATTTAGCTAATAAAGAATCAGGATTAATGGCCTGAGCTACTTCAATATCATGAGGACGAGGTTTTAAATTACATCTTTTAATGAGAAACCTAACAAGCTCCAAGTTAGAACTCTTGCTAGCATAATAAAGCAGGGTTTTTAAATCATTTGTTTCAGCTAGTGCATTGCAATTATGATCAGTTAGAAAGTATAGTGCTAACTCGATACTACCAGCTTCGCATGCTCCATGAACTGAAGTGTATCCATTATTATCAGGATCATCAGGAGTACAGGGGAAGGTCTCTATGAGATAACGTACCATACGAATATTATCAGAACGAGAAGCATAATGAAGAGGAGTACGACCTGACTTGTCTTTAGGTACTGGATTAGAGACGGTAGGTTGCAAATACTGGTACATGTAAACTCTCTTTCTCTCCGCTAGTAAGTGTAAGCAGGTGATGCCATCTTCATCTTCTGCTAAAGGATCCAGTCCATGTGTTTCAATTAGTGTTCTTACTATTCCAATATCTCCTCCCTCACATGCTGCATGAAGTAAACCACGTCCTCTGTTATCCATTACATTAACACCTTGAGGATGAATACTGGATAAATAACGAAACACACCAACCTGTCCATTATTGCAAGCTGTATGACATGCAGTGCATCCTTTATCATCAGTAGCTGTAAGGAGATTATGATGAGTGGAACTATCAGTGACTGAAGACAGTAAAGCCTTTATAATTTCTTGATGACCTGCAGCAGCTGCTATGTGTAATGGTGTCTGCCCTTCCTTGTTAGTTAATAATATACAAATAGCAGAAAAACTAGCTCTTAACAAAAATTCTACCACTCTTTGCTGTCCTGTTCTACAAGCTATGTGGAGTGGTGAATTACCATTATTATCTTGAACTTTAATATGAGAAATTAAATCTTGTGGACAGTCCAATAAACACTTAGTGTTACGTATCCAATCCACACTAACTGAGGGAATGGTCTTGTTCAGTAAATATTCTAGTATATCTAATCTATTAGCTAATACTGCATAATGCAGTGGTGTACTCTTGTTATGATCAAATGCAATAGGATTACAATAATTATTATCAAGGAGATACTTTAATACATTCAAGTGACCTATCATTACTGATATGTGAATTGCTCCAGAACTTTCATAGTTGGTAGCTGATACATTGCACTTCTTACTAATAAGAAATTTCATAACTTCCAACTGATTGTAGTACACTGCAGTAAGGAATGGAGTATGACCATGATTTCTTACAGGTAGTTCAAGCGATGATGGTATTTGTTCTATAATGTACTGGATCAAGTTCAATCTTCCATTACTACATGCATAGTGAATAGGAGCCATTCTCTCATCATTCACAGCACATAGATCTAACTCATGATTCTCTACCAGATGTTTGAGTATAGGAAGAGAGCCACTGGACATACAGGTAGTGTGAAGAACTGTTGATCCGTTAGAGGTCTTAGCTGCTACAATACACTGAGGAAGACTAGTGAGATAAAGTATAACAGGAACATGGCCTCCTGCACATGCTATATGAAGAACTGTACTACCATTAGTAGTAGTGGCATTAACATCACACTGATACTTGTTGATCAGTTCTTGTAGACAAAGTACCTTACCTTTAAAAGCAGCTGCATGAGCTAATGTGTACTTGTTATTGTCAGTGTGATTAGTAATATCCACACTATACTCCTGACTGTACCATTCCAGTATATGAGTATGACCATTCTTAGCAGCTTCATGTAATACTGAGAAACCAGTGCTGCTAATATTGATAGGTTCAAGCTTGTATTGTTGTATCAGTAATCGTACTAGATCAAGACTACCAGAGAAACACGCATGCATGACACAATTACTACCATGTCTATCAGTAACAGTGACATCACACTTCATGTCATCTATTAGAAAAGTCACCAATTGAATATTACCACTCGTGCAGGCTAAATGTAATGCTACACTGCCATTTGTGGTCATATGTTGCTTTAAAAGAATGTTGATCGAGCCAATTTTGTTTTGTACTGTTAAATGTTCGACAATATACTTGACCAAGTTCAGTCTCCCCTTACTACATGCATAGTGAAAAGGGGCCATTCCCTCATCATTCACAGCACATAGATCTAACTCATGATTCTCTACCAGATGTTTGAGTATAGGAAGAGAGCCACTGGACATACAGGTAGTGTGAAGAACTGTTGATCCGTTAGAGGTCTTAGCTGCTACATTACACTGAGGAAGACTAGTGAGATAAAGTACAACAGGAACATGGCCTCCTGCACACGCTATATGAAGAACTGTGCTACCATTAGTAGTAGTGGCATTAACATCACACTGATACTTGTTGATCAGTTCTTGTAGACAAAGTACCTTACCTTTAAAAGCAGCTGCATGAGCTAATGTGTACTTGTTATTGTTAGTGTGATTAGTAATATCCACACTATACTCCTGACTGTACCATTCCAGTATATGAGTATGACCATTCTGAGCAGCTTCATGTAATACTGAGAAACCAGTGTTGCTAATACTGATAGGTTCAAGCTTGTATTGTTGTATCAGCAATTGTATTAGATCAAGACTACCAGAGAAACAAGCAGGTATGACACAATTACTACCATGTCTATCAGTAACAGTGACATCACACTTCATGTCATCTATTAGAAAAGTCACCAATTGAATATTACCACTCGTGCAGGCTAAATGTAATGCTACACTGCCATTTGTGGTCACATGTTGCTTTAAAAGAATGTTGATCGAGCCAATTTTGTTTTGTACTGTTAAATGTTCTATAATATACTGGACCAAGTTCAGTCTCCCCTTACTACATGCATAGTGAAAAGGGGCCATTCCCTCATCATTCACAGCACATAGATCTAACTCACGATTCTCTACCAGATGTTTGAGTATAGGAAGAGAGCCACTGGACATACAGGTAGTGTGAAGAACTGTTGATCCGTTAGAGGTCTTAGCTGCTACATTACACTGAGGAAGACTAGTGAGATAAAGTACAACAGGAACATGGCCTCCTGCACACGCTATATGAAGAACTGTGCTACCATTAGTAGTAGTGGCATTAACATCACACTGATACTTGTTGATCAGTTCTGGTAGACAAAGTACCTTACCTTTAAAAGCAGCTGCATGAGCTAATGTGTACTTGTTATTGTTAGTGTGATTAGTAATATCCACACTATACTCCTGACTGTACCATTCCAGTATATGAGTATGACCATTCTGAGCAGCTTCATGTAATACTGAGAAACCAGTGTTGCTAATACTGATAGGTTCAAGCTTGTATTGTTGTATCAGCAATTGTATTAGATCAAGACTACCAGAGAAACACGCATGCATGACACAATCACTACCATGTCTATCAGTAACAGTGACATCACACTTCATGTCATCTATTAGAAAAGTCACCAATTGAATATTACCACTCGTGCAAGCTAAATGTAATGCTACACTGCCATTTGTGGTCACACGTTGCTTTAAAAGAATGTCGATCGAGCCAATTTTGTTTTGTACTGTTAAATGTTCTATAATATACTGGACCAAGTTCAATCTCCCCTTACTACATGCATAGTGAAAAGGAGCCACTCCCTCATCATTCACAGCACATAGATCTAACTCATGATTCTCTACCAGATGTTTGAGTATAGGAAGAGAGCCACTGGACATACAGGTAGTGTGAAGAACTGTTGATCCGTTAGAGGTCTTAGCTGCTACATTACACTGAGGAAGACTAGTGAGATAAAGTACAACAGGAACATGGCCTCCTGCACACGCTATATGAAGAGCTGTACTACCATTAGTAGTAGTGGCATTAACATCACACTGATACTTGTTGATCAGTTCTTGTAGACAAAGTACCTTACCTTTAAAAGCAGCTTCATGAGCTAGTGTGAGCTTGTTATTGTTAGTGTGATTAGTAATATCCACACTATACTCCTGACTGTACCATTCCAGTATATGAGTATGACCATTCTTAGCAGCTTCATGTAATACTGAGAAACCAGTGCTGCTAATATTGATAGGTTTAAGCTTGTATTGTTGTATTAGTAATCGTACTAGATCAAGACTACCAGAAAAACACGCATGCATGACACAATTACTACCATGTCTATCAGCAACAGTGACATCACACTTCATGTCATCTATTAGAAAAGTCACCAATTGAATATTACCACTCGAACAGGCTAAATGCAATGCTACACTGCCATTTGTGGTCACATGTTGCTTTAAAAGAATGTTGATTGAGCCAATTTTGTTTTGTACTGTTAAATGTTCTATAATATACTGGACCAAGTTCAATCTCCCCTTACTACATGCATAGTGAAAAGGGGCCATTCCCTCATCATTCACAGCACATAGATCTAACTCATGATTCTCTACCAGATGTTTGAGTATAGGAAGAGAGCCACTGGACATACAGGTAGTGTGAAGAACTGTTGATCCGTTAGAGGTCTTAGCTGCTACATTACACTGAGGAAGACTAGTGAGATAAAGTACAACAGGAACATGGCCTCCTTTACAAGCTTTATGAAGAACTGTACTACCATTAGTAGTAGTGGCATTAGCATCACACTGATACTTGTTGATCAGTTTCTGTAGACAATGTAGTTTACCGTTAAAAGCGGCTGAATGAGCTAGTGTGTACTTGTTATTGCTAGTGTGATTAGTAATATCCACACTATACTCCTGACTGTACCATTCCAGTATATGAGTATGACCGTTCTGAGCTGCTGCATGTAATACTGAGAAACCAGAGTTATTAATATTGATAGGTTCAAGATTGTATTGTTGTATCAGTGATCGTACTAGATCAAGATTACCAGAGAAACAGGCATGCATGACACAACTACTACCATTGGTATTTGTAACAGTGACATCACACTTCATGTCATCTATTAGAAAAGTCACCAATTGAATACTACCACTCATACAGGCTAAATGTAATGCTAGCCTACCCTCATTGTCAGTAGAGTGTAGCATACTGATGTATTGAGGATACTGATTAATGATATTCTTTATAAAATTATGACCTTCAATTGAAGTAAAATGAATAATATTCCAGCCTCTGTTATCTGTTAGGCTCAGATGACACTTGTAGTCCTTTACATATAATTCCAGTAGTAAAATATCACCAGCTTCAGCAGCATAATGAATCAATAGCTTACCATTACCGTCAGTTTGATGAGGATCTAACTGATAGGTAGTTATTAATTCCTTAACAAGAGATAAGTTAAGAGACACTGAAGCATAATGTAAAGCAGTGAGACCATTCTTATCCACTGCAGTAGGAGACAAACTTTGTTCAGTAATAAGATACTGAACTAAATCAAAGTTACCACTCCATGCAGCATGATGTACTAACGTGCGTCCTTCATTATCTGTTTTATTAACATCACAATGCAGTACCTCAATGAGATATTGAGTGACATCAATATGACCATTGCGACAAGAATGATGTAGACATGTCATACCATCATTATCAGTGATATTAGGATCACTGTTATGATTATTAATAAGATATTTAACAGAATTAATACTACCTGACCAGCAAGAGTAGGCTAATGGTGTACGACCAGAATACTCAATATCATTAGCATTAAGATTACACCGAGATATGATATAGCTTAATACACTAGTAGAACCTGACCAGGCAGCATAATGTACTGGAGACATACCATAATAATCTAATGTACAATCAATATTGTATTCTTCTAATACCTTCACTAGTAATGTACTGCCACTGCGTGCTGCACAATGCAATAATAACTGGCCATAATTTGTACTGGCATTGATATCAAAGTTAGGCCAGTTACTAGCTTTCTCAAGAAGTGAAGCAAACAATTTTATTCTTTTGTTGCGTGTAATAAAATCAATGTTACTTTTGACTTTAGTATTACTACTATCTGTAATAAATGATGCATCACGTTGTGCAATTAGCTTACTGTACACAGTAGTAGCTTTAATAATCATATATACATCACTTGTATAATGTAAGCATGAAGAGCCATTATTATTATTATCTAATAATACTTCATTACTTTGAATACTAACAATATATTCAACAATTGATGATGAAGCGTACCATGAAGCAATATGAAGTGGAGTCTGACCAAACTGATCTGACATATCAATGGCTAACTGATATCGGGTCAAAAGATACTTAAAGAGTTCAACATCATCATTATTCATAGAACAATAATGCAATATGCCAGATCCATAAATATCAGATGAATTTGGTTTGAAAAGCTTTAAAGATTCAAGCTTATAAATTAGTGCCTGCTGCCCACTTTTACAAGCTAGCAGTGATAAAGAGGCACCTTCACTATTAATGTGAAAAGCATCACAATTTCTCTCAATAAAGAATTCCACTAGTTCAAAATGGCCCCCCATGGCTGAGTACAGTAATGCAGTGTTGTTGCTACTGTCTGGCTTGTCAGGAGGAACGTGATACGTATCTACTAGATATTGTACTATAGATAAATGGCCCTTATAAGATGCCATGTGTAAACTAGATACACTATTATCATCACCTTCATTAGGATCAATACCATATTGATGGATGAGTAGTTGAAGGATCTTAATATGTCCACCGTATGATGCAGAGTGTAATGGGGTCCAACCATGAAGACCACGATGATAAGTGCTGTAGCCAAACTTGGTAAGAAGCCATTGTACTTCATCTTTTAATCCTCTCCAAGCTGCTTCATGTAATGGTGTACTGGTATTTTCATACAATAATGGATCACATATATCTAACAGGAATAAAAATATAATCATTGCTTGAACAACATAAATTTCATTGTAATGATTATAGTACAGAAAAATGACTCAATTATAAAATTAGTTACTCACCAAAATTTAAAATTAACAGCTGAAATTCTTGTGATGATGAGAGCTATTAGACAAACAATAAACCTCTTATTTAATATTCAAATTACAAACCTTTCTTAGATCATATTTATAATCACCACATGCTATTTCACTGATACCAATACTAGCTAACTGTTGCTGTATCTCTGTAGATAGAGGAAACAATGCAGAGTATAGGTAATCAGGAATATTATGTAACAGCTGTAGAGAGCCAGGACGAACAAAACTGAAGTACAAATTAACATTAGGAATATTTAGTTCTTTTGGTATTGCTCTACGAAAAAAGAAAAGGTCAGCTGGTGTGTAGTCATCCCGATCAACTTTAGCAATCATTACTTGTGTACCAGGAGGAACATCTGTTATACCAAAGTTTACAGCATCAGCATCTCTCAATAGCCCACCACTGTTAAAAAAATAATCCTTCAATTTCTCCTTGTAGCTTAACCACATCCTTTTTAATGATTGATTATCAGGTAAGAATACATTAACAAGTTTAACGATTAGTTCATAGTTAAACCACGACATGTACTTGCCTTGTAACACCATAAATAAATCCTTTATACTTTCAATGTTATGAAAGTCTTGTTTAATTTTCTGCATTGCAGCTTGATTATTTTTGTTTGGACCAAGTAGAGCAGGGACATACGTCTCAAGGTAATCAATAATATTTGGAAGGAGTTCTGGTTTAAATGCATCTTTTGTTTCTGTAAGAATATCAGAAAACTCCAATTGAAGATCATATATCTTGTCCAGGAGTGAAAAATCTTTGACAGAAAGACCAAAAATTGACTTACATGTATCTAATAAAAAATGCAGCATAATTACAATGTATTATGTAAGGTGTCATTAAAATATATAGTCACTATGCACATTAAAAAATAATGGACTTGGGTCCTTTCATTGCCTACAAACAGCATTAGGTTAAGTTATCACAACAGCAACCATTAAAATAACATCTCACTACTTACTACCAAATATGGAATGTGACTTTAAGGGGCTCTGACCTCAAACAAATCAAGATGCTCTGATGTGCATGCATGTAAAGACATACGAACAGAACTACTTTACCAGTAAGAGCTTCACCCAATTAGAATACTATAGCTAGTCTATAATACAAGTTTGATAGTTTTTGGGGTTTTTAATTTTGCATATTTCGCTGGCACACAAAATTACAAAGCGGACAGAAAGCTAAATTATTATTCATTAAATCTGCAGAATAAATAATCGACACAGCCACAGATTATTTTTAACTTTTTATTTCACAACATCAATGATAAAAACTGATACTACTTATGTAGCTAGCCAGCCCCTATAGCCCCTCCCTCAGTGTGCACAGGTAGCCATCCATACACATTAGGCAAAAGGCTGGGCAGCTAAAGACTACCCTAGGCGAGAATTGATTGCGTAGGAAGATTATTAGAAATTTTAAAATTGTAAGGCATGGTTTAAAATGAAATAAATTAGGGTCGTATTTTGGTTGGCAACTTCTATGGAGAACAAACGGACCTACATAAAAACAAACCTGTATATTAAAAATTCTAGAGCAAATTTGACCAAATCCTTTACAAGAGAAGCTTAAAGGCAGCAGTTCTTTCTTATAACAAGAGCTTTTTGGCTATTGATAGAGCTACAGCTGGTAAGTGAGGCAGTTTATTTGTGCCTCCATTGACTTCCATAACAAACTTGCCAGCAAAAAGGGTAGCCAATTTTGATGTCTGGGCGGATTATCGTATATATCATATTTTGTTGGTGGGAGTTTTCTTTCGCAGTTTTGTGATGGTTAACTTATTAGCAGATTTAATATTGGTGATTTCTTAACAATTAATTATATCCCCACCCTTAGGTGGGGTTAAATTGACTTAAGCAGGTGTGGCTACACTTGCTAATTAATGCATGGAGATTTTAAATCTTGCAAATTGTATATGTGGACACCATTATCAGAAAAAGATGGTACTTTTTATGGAAGATTGTGTTCTTTATCACCTGGTTTAGAGACTGGCTTAAGGAAACATAGTAAAGCCATGTTAGCTAGTTTTTAACCATGCTTTTAACCTCACTTTTAATTAAAATTAATGTGGGCATGGTCACATGCATAAAAATGGAATTATTGCTTGTGGATTTTAATTTGGCGTTTTCATATAAATCCATCAATCTGCCAATATAAAATCCAGGTCAACATTTCATCTTATACGGTAATATTAATTAAATTCATAGTTTTTCTAATTCACGCCTAGAGTCAGGCCCGCCTGACTAGGGCGGTCCTAGTCTATTGACCACTCATGCTCAGGATAGGACACTTAACATGTTTTCAAATGAAGCAGCTTCAAAGTAAGCTTATTTCTATACCTTTTGAGTTGCCTTCTTCTGGTAGAGGATGCTTACGAGCTATGTCTTCAGCTAATGCAGTGTCACCTCCTCCTTCTTTAACAGCTACACACACTCTCCTCCAACATGGAGGACCATAGAACTCACAATCGTAATCTTTCCTTAACCAGTGCTCCAAAACCTTGCGCAAACACGATTCACAATCATTACTGTCATTAGCTTGAATTACGTTAACAGTAGATGGTCTAATGTACAGCGAGTTAGCAAAGTGCTTCCATTGTGCAGCGATGGGTTTAACTTCATTATACACGACATTAAGATCGTCAATACCTAAAAAAACCATATGGAAAAAAAAAAATACAAATCAAAGGTATCACAATCACAAACTCACAAAGCTCAGCCATAGTTTTGATAGTCTCGCGCGGCCAGACTCTCCACCCCTTCTTGACTTTAAAAAAGGGGTGGAAAGTCTGGCCGCGCGCGCGCGCGCGAGACTATAGTTTTGACTCTTGAAACTAACTCACGTGATCTTACAGCTCTCAATTTATACAACAGGAAACTGTGCTGTATGAACCGGAAGTGTGCTGTATGAATTATAAGTTGTTATATTGTGTTGAAAATTTGAGCATTACTGAACTGTTCATTCTCCATATCATCAGTGTGACCAATGATTATGAATGATACGGAGAATTGAAATTGGTTGATCATTACTGACATTCAGTTTTAAGTTCAGGTTCATATGAGTATGTTTTTTATTAGCAGGCTCATTGTAAATTATGTACTCTTGCTATCAATAATAATGCATAGTATAATAGCATAACAATTATCTCATTATTATCCCTCATAAAACTAGTATACAAGACTACACAGTGAATGCTGCTAAAATGCAATAATTGTATTCTCCTTTCACACAAGTTATACAACTATAATTATGTCAAAATGAATTGCTACAATATATTTATATTGGGAATGTTTCAACAGTTACTCTGTGCACATTGTTCTAGTGCACTCATTGTGGTATACACTCATAAACATCATCAGGTGATGTTTGACATTCATCATAGACTACTTTATTCTCTTCACTTAGTCTAGTCTTGTGAATCCCATATGGTTCACATACTTGCATTGCAATATCATCATCAGCTCTATATTAACATTATCATAATTTGTGTAAAGTATATAACTTAACATAACAGAATAGACTAACATTGTTTGCTTATTGATGCCATAAGAACTTTTCTTTCTAAAAGAAGAGCATTAAAATTTATTACACTATCAATGTAAGCCAGATACCTTATAAAGCAGTAGATATTAATAACTGTTAGTAGAACACACAATGCACCCACTAACACACTGAGAACAATAACACTATTGGGTGTATCACTATCTGATGGAATTACTGAAACTGAAGTACCAGTGCAGACTGTTCAGTACAAGCTGCATGTATACATTGAGCGAACATGTGTAAAATAGTTGAATGATATCAATGTATACTTACTTAATGAACAATACCCAGTAGATGAACTAAAAATAGCACTATTTAGTGTAGAAGCTGATGATTGAACTGATGATGTGAACAATGTGCTAGATGATAGTTGTGGTGGTAGTTTTAGTGTTTCATAAGCAATAACTTTCCATTTTCCATATCCACAGTATATGCGCATACACCAAAAACATAACAAGACATCATTAAGACCAGTCATGACAATAGATGTATTGTCATTGGTTGAATTAGAAAACTGTAGCATTTGAATATCAATGTCATCATTATCTACCATTGAACACTGAGTTAGCAGGCTTTAAAATATGATATCCTATCTCATATGTGATAATGGGATAGTCTTGTGGAATATAACTAGGTATACTCCATGAGATAAAACTCTATGTAGTGTCCATGATACTGGATAATGAACCAACTGGACCAGGGGTACTAAATAAATACACATCATCTCACAGAGCTGATATAGTATAATAACTACATACCTATTCCGATCTCTACTACAATAGGATCACTGAAGGGACCTCTTCCAACAGAATTGACAACAGCTACACTGATGTTATACTCAGTACCAAATACTAGATCATTCAATATGATATATCTCTCAGTACTGGTGAGGTTGTATGTGATACTGCTGTTACTGATCATCACTGTATAGCCTGTGATTAGACCATTATGCTCAGGACAGTTGACCACTTGACCTCATTCCAAATGAGATAATTAATTGGTTGTAACAAAAACAAATAATCAGGTGCACTAGTAGGAGCTGAATACAAAATTTAAAAATGTAAATCACATGTAATAAATTATTTTAATCATTATTATACCTATTGTCAATGTAGCTCTATCTTCTTCAAATGAACTTGGATCAGATCCTCCTAGTACATTACCAGCTCTCACTGTGATGGTATAGTTCATACCACTGTACAGACCTGTTAATGTAGATATAACTGTATGTTGTAATAGACAGATGAGGAGTAACAGAGACTGTCTCATTCACTGATGATAACTGGGGACAAGATAGAGTATAGGAGATGGGATAGTATGTTACATAGTTGTCACTACTGGGAATAGTCCAGTTCACTGTAATACCAGTGGTTGAGACATTAGATACTGAGAGACTAGTTACTGGACTAGGAACTACAACAGATATCAATTACACTCTCTCAATGATAAGAACTCACCATAAAATCTTAACGCTGTTACTGTACTATTAACTAAAGGAAGATCTATATATGAGTACACGCTGATGGTATAGGTACTCATTGGTGAGAGATCTGTCAGTAATATTTCATCTTCACTGGTAGATACTACATTCCTGGTTACACCTTCAGTAGTATACTCAATCACATTTCCATTAGTTTGAGATGAATTGGTCCAGTTCACTTTGATACTAGTAGCATTTAATATAAACCCTCTCACAATATTTGGAGGACCACTAGGAGCTAGAAATGAGACAAAAGTATCTATTATTGATTAAAATATAATCATACCATGTAATATCACAGATTGACTGTAGTCAACTCCTCCAAACATTGCAATACAGGTGATGTTTACTAACACTCTCAGTGTATCAGGATATACCAGTGATGTGTTATTATATGTCAGTACATCAATTGATGTATACATTGAGCTATTCTTCATTACTGAGCCAAATAATCCTAAGGAACAAAAAGCAATAACATAAAAAATAACCATACTATCTTATTGACATACTGGAGTAAAATAGAGGAATACAATTACCCCAAGCACAGCCAGGACAATGAAACACCAATAATAATGTGAAATTTGTAATACTTCCATATTATGTGCTTAAATATCTTCAGAGGAAATGTCAACCAAATGAATGATGTTTCAGGTCACCTGCAACATTACCTATTGTCATTTACTTATGCAACCATACATGATTGAGCCTTTAGTTAGAGTTGATCATGGCCGATAAGACCATGCTCTACAGTCAAACCTGTCTATTTTGGACACATTGGGACCAAATAAAACTGTCCTTATTATAGAGGTGTCCTTATTTTAGAGCGTCCACAATAGCAGGTTTCACTGTATACCTGTATGTCTTCAACACAGATCAATTCAGAGGTAGCTGCTATACTTTTGTACCAAGTACAAAGTACTCTGTGTAAGATGCATGTCTTTATTGCCTTATCTCAAAGATGGGCCAAAGCTACACTGCCAGTAGTTGGTGGGATTGATGCTAGTCTGAATCAGTCCTGAAATCAGTTTTTGAACATGTATGCTGGGCAATCAATCACAATACAATGATGAAATCAGTCGTGACACAATCATGAAAAAATTTTGCACTGGATTAGGCCAGAGCAAAAGGCATAGCCCATAGTCCTAGATACTGTTTCTAGTAGTTGTAAGCACCAGTTCCCCAGCCTACAGTAATTGGGGAATGACTGTAGGCTGGGCAAACATTGAACTCTTAAAAAATGCATGCAGTTTGAATAGCATGTTTCTTCAGCCAAATTATTTCTTTGTTATGGGTCTGTTTCTATACTCTTCTGTAAGTTCCGTTCCACCATAGATTCCACCAAGAGTACATGCTTGGTTTCAGTAATTTTTACCCACGTGAATACACATGGACCTCATCAGGCTAATAATTAGAAGGGCGTGGTGACATACCCAGGGCTATAAAATCAATGCTTTGCCTGATGCTTTGCAGTTTTGCACAAGATAGCGATGGCTGAGACTCATAGGCTAGACGTGACTGTTGTTTCAGCTTCTAGCCTTCCTTGGGTTGAGAGAGACCGAGGATGCGATGCTATGGTAAAAGTTAAATTTGAAGGTTAGTCGCCATGATGTTGCAATTTGACATGCTGCTCTTACTCAGGTCAATCAAAAGAGACTAAAGTTGTGGTTGGTGTTAATCCCGTATGGAATGAAGTTAGCTTAAAATAATTTTCCACTTCTTGATTCTTTTGAAATAGACATTGCATTTTGATCTAAAAAAGAAACCAAGCAATAACTCACAAATTATCATCAAGGTTTATGATGAACAGATAATTAAGAACAGGTTAAGCAAACGTAAATATGTACTCGCCCCAATTAACGCACCTCTTGATGAATAATTACATGTCTCAGGTGGTGCATTGTTTAGATAGGAACAATTACCCTAGGACGCCTTTTTTCAAGGGCTATAAATTTTGCAGATTTCACGATTTTTTTTAAGATTCGCGAAAATTACTTTTGCGAAAATCAAATTAATTCGGTACAAGATGGCAGACGGCATAAATTCGTGAAAATTAAATCCGTGAAATAAAAATCCACGAAATTTATAGCCCTCGAAAAAAAAGGCGCCCTACAGTATGAAATGCTCTGGAGGTGCTTGTTTAGAGAGGTGCTTAGCTAAGTATGCAATACACCTGTAAACAATGGGACTTTCTAATTACAATGCACCTCTCAAAAATAATTATCTTGACCAGGAGGTGCACTCAATATAAAGTTTATTATTGTGAAGCCATGTAGAGGTGCAATAATTAGGAGGTTGCATTAATTGGGGTAAATACGGCAATTACATTTCGGATTATTATGATCACACACCTTTAGTTCTTTGCTTGTACTTTATTTTGCTGCATTTCAACCTTTTTATTTTGCTCCGTTCAATAGGTTTTTGGGTTCAACTGAGCTTAGTTTTGGATCTATTTTGAGTTCTGATTTAGTGACATGTAAAATCAAAGACAAGAACAAGGAGGTAAAAGTTCTAGACCTTAGCAGCTATTATAACAATACTACGTGACATATAGAGTGCCATTTTTGCTTTTAAATTATTGTGTGTGAGTTTTTGTGTTGTTGATGTTGTATGTAAAATCTAGACCAACCATGAAGGAGGTTTAAAGTATGTAACTTTATAATCAAATGTAAAATTAACACACCACTAATATTGAATATGGCCCCGTTTACACTATGCCCTTAAAGTGGTTTGAATCCAGTTTAGAAATAAACCAGTTTATATGTTATGTGTGGACAATTTCAATGCTGTTCGGTTATAGGCGGTTATAGGCGGTTATAGGCGGTTATAGGCAGGTATAGGCACTTGGTACTCTTTATCTTGTCACTTGATGTGTTGTAGTAGTAATTTGAGAGTAGCTCCATAGGAACTATGAAGTTTGTTTAATGAGTTCAAGGTGTGAGTATGAGCTAATTGACCTTTGCAACTCTGTCCTGTCCCTGAGCCAAACTGGCTTATCTAAACCACCTTAGGCAGGTGGCTTGAGATCAAACCAGTTTAAGTGCTGAAGCAGCTGTATTATGCAATGTAGCATTATAAACCTATTTAACCACAGCTATACATGTGGACGCAATTAAGCTGGTTTCTGAACCACTTTGATCCAAACTGGTTTGTATTGTAAATGGGGCTTATGATCAACATTGAACTAATTATCCCTGATCAATTACTTGAAAATGTTGACATTAGACCCATACTACCATAGAGCTGGTTTATTTCGAGAATAACAAATTTTGAAGATTTTTTAAGATTCGTGAAATTAAATTCTTTGAAATTAAAGTGCTTGAAAATCAGTTTAATATGGTACAAGATGGCAGAAAAGGGGCAATTCACGAAAATTAATTCCGTGAACCTCTGGATACAGGCCATTCGCGAAAATTATTATCCTATACGGTATAATGTATTGGCACATTAACAGGATCCATGCAGTGTGGCTATAGTATGATATTGGCTATAAAGTTATGAGGAATTATGTCAAAAATGGAAAGTACTTATTGTTAAAAGGATGTAATTTATATGTACATGCAGTTATTAATCTGTTAATTATTAATGATTTGTGTGAACATTATGAATATTGTTGTCTTGCCTATTTAAGCTGCTTTTGTGCCACTTTTTGCGGACCATTCTGATAACACTCATTATTGTACTTTGATAGTCAATTTTTCTTACTTTTGCAGGAACTGGGATCCGCCATTAAACTGTATTTTAGATATATTTCTCCATCTGATGAAGAGACTCTACCAACCAGTATGTCAAGGGAAGCACCACTTTATACTAGTGATACAGTAGAAGGTAATTTGAATACTACAAACTAGGTATACTTTAGTTAGTGACCTTTTACTTCATAGAGAGTGAGAGGAATGAGGAATGGTGTACACCTGTTACTACATGTACTATAAAGGATAGTGCTAAGGATTCAAATATTTCTGATGATGAAGGCTATGTATCTCCTTGTCCTGCTCCAAGGTTGTGATGCTAATAGTAAACTGTTGTGCTATTATAATTGCTAATTGTATCACCTTCATAGTCTCTGATATTGATAATGACTGCTATTTTGTGCTTTTTAGAAATACAGCATTCAATCGTGAACAATCGTCTTTTCGTTCCAAATTACCACAAAGACTGACAGACTTTCAAGTAATAAAAATAATACTTAATTTACTTGTATGATGTACTGTGTAGCAGGAAATTTTGGAGGGAATTAAATTTGGCAAATTTGGCATTTTGCTAGCTTCAACAAAATAAAATCCACCATTTTGAGCCATTATATTCATGCTCAATGGCACGTGGCCACTAATTCACCAAATTAAAATTTGCCAATCACCAGAATTTAGCAATTTGCCAAATTTAACTCTCTCAAAAATTTCCCGCTATACGGTATTGTGTGTAGGTGCGTGTTCATGTGATAAAGGGTAGGCAGTTACAAGGAGGTCACATGAACCCAGTGGTCAAAGTTATATGTGGGACCACAACTAAAAGAACCATTCAAGCTAAAGGAACTAACAATCCTTTTTTTGACCAAGTAATTAGTTTTTGTGTCGCCTTTTAAATTATTATTTACTTTTTTTGTAGTTATTTTTCTTTAATTTCCGTGATTATCCCAGTAAAGTTTTTGATGAGATGTTAGAATTGAGGGTACTTAATTCAAAGATCAACCTTGTTTATTCAGAGATCATTGGCACCTTTAAGCTTGACCTTGGACAAATCTATGATCAACCAGGTTTTAGCCATTGTTATTTAATTAGAAGGATTATGTTTTTCTTTTCATAGATCATTGTTATATTAAAAAGTGGTTGCTTTTGTCTGATCCAGAGAATTCATTTCTTGGTCCTAAAGGTTATTTGTTATTCTCTGCTTATGTTCTTTCACCAGGAGTTGTACCCAAGCCATACCCACCATTGAGTGATGATTCCATTGATGTGGAAAGGTATCAATTACTGTTAATTAATGCATGTAGTAGAGCTTACTCTTGTAAATCTTAATTGTTACTATAAGTACATGCAGTGGTACAGTATATATGTGTATACATTGTACCCTGCACTCTATAATGAGCATTCCATGCTTGATTAGTCATAATCAGTTGTAATT